CCGCAGAATCGAGATACTCGGGCGAAAGGGCACGGCGAGCCGAGTGGCGCGAGCGAGCGCGACGTAATCCGCGCCACCTCACGTTCCCGCTCGCTCGCGACGATTCGAGGCAGGTTCCTCGCGGAAGGAAACGTCGGGCCTGATCGGCTCGCGAATTACGTCACCAGGGCCGTCTTGCCGGGACGCTTGAGTCCCGCGAATCTAGTTCGGCTCCCTGGCGTCGCCCAAGGTCCTCCGCGCGTCCCTCGCGCGACGGGCGAACACGACGGGCACTTTCGGCGTGAGAGGGGCGCCACGACGAGGAGGACCGGTAGCAGCGGGTCCGCATGGAGCACTGGGACGTGCCATGGCCGATTCATCATTATTACATATATATATATATACATATATATATACATATGCGCGTTTATACGTGTGCACGTTGCACGCGCGACTCGGAAAAACGTACAGCAACGCGCGTGGAAAATTGTCTTTCTCTCTCGCTGCCCTGCCGTCGGTGCGAACGCGAACAGCGTGGTCGGCCTCCGCTTGACCTCCCCGGGCTGGGACGATTGTTCCCGAAAATGTCCTCCCGCCCCCCTTTTCTTTCCCCCCCCCCCGCTTCGGCGACGGCTAATCGTGCTCGTGCGCGATCTAATTGCGACGGACGCGAAGGGCGAGCGACGCGTCGCGCAACGGCCGCCACGTAGTGATTCCGTCTACGGCCTCGTCTCTCGCGCGGGGGACTCCATCCGCCATTCGCTCACTCCGCCGTGCCGCGAAATTCCGCGACGCACGGCGGCGCGATCGATTTTCAATTACGCGACTGACCCACCCTCTCTTTCTCTCTCTCTCTCGCGTCCTCCTTAGCTGATCGCGTTTCCCCGAAAGTAACGAGTCGTACGTGACGCATGACGATTCGACTCTGCGTGGCATTTCGGGAAGTCGCAGGCGCGCGCGCCCGCGCGCCAACGTCCCCCTCGGGGCCGGCGGGCGACCGCCGATCCCCCGAAGCAGCCGCGAAGAGGACTCGATCTCGGATCTCGCGCGCGCAACTCCAGGGGCAGCAGCGTTACGGTCACTTGAGCACCCGAGATCGATCCTCGTCCGAGGATGGGGACTCGATTCTTGAATGCATTCAACGGAGAAACGTATGCGAAAGTTTCGTTTTCGCAGAGAAGTTGCAAGTCGACTGGCTGTTCGTGTAGTTCTTAGCTAGACTTTTAACTTTTCGCGTACGTTTCTCTTCTGAGTGAATTCAAGAATCGAGCCCCGATTAAGTTACGAGCGCGCGAGCGGCTGCTTCGAAGGTGCGCGGTGGTCCGGATGACAGGGAAGGGAGCACGGGGCACGGGAAGGGAGAAACGTCCTCGACGCTCGAGGCTACGGTAGCTCGGAGCAGTTGTTTGGGGATCGACATGCTTGTCCGAGAATCGGACCGCGCTGGAATATCACGCGTACTCGAGGGAGAGACCGTACGGCTGACTGCAGAGATCGAGACGGAGAAAAATGTGAACGAGAGTGAGACTGTCGGCATCACGCGCTTACGTCTCCTCTCTTCCTCGCTCTCCGCAGTCAGGACGTCTCCCGAGTTGACAAGACCTCGTCGAGTACGCAAATCGACGGTGACTCGAGGCTCTCATAGCGGGTCGCTTTAAATTTATTGTATCTGGACGAATCGCCGCATCCGGAATCTCCCTTACCGGGATGAATTCTCGGTTTGATTCTCGTTCGCGCACATCGTCGTTTCGCACTCAAGTCGCGGACGATCTGAAACACTGTCCGCACATCCGCAGTGGAGAGTTGCTAGGAGGGTTCTCGGGCTCGGCTCGAGTCAGTCGGGACCTCGACCTCGGTAAAGGCGAGATGCGACGTAAGAGCTCGAGGTGCGGAGAGAAGAATGTCTCCGAGCGGGCGAGCCGCGCTTCCTTCGCGGAGAGCCGCCATTTTCTTCGTTCTACCGCCCGCAGCATGCGCCCTCTAGCGTGTAGAAGTGTGTAGACATGCGGACATGCGCTTCGAAGTTATTAAGGCCTGTGTCCACGATGCTACAACTTGATCCGAGCTCTAGTTCCGAGAAATGTGTAGCCAATCATTCGCCTGCACTTTACCGCATTGGTTCTTTTATGCGGGGTCTACAATGAGAGTCGCAGAGTCGTAGTCGTAAGAATAATCGACTATAATTGGTCAACTCCTATGTGTCTAATGGTATTGACCAATCGCAGTCAATTATACTTACGATTACGATTCGCATTGTAGACCACGCATAAGGAAATCCTCCAATCAAAGTCCATTATTCCCCTGATGTAGGCCAAGTAATGTAGGACAAATAGGCCAGTATTCATAGTCGATTCTTATTTCAATATCATCTTAAGTGTTGTCTTAAGAGGCTAATACGGCTCTGTAATTGGTTAAAAATACATTAGGAGTATACTTAAGATGATCTTAAATATAAGAACGGACTATGAATACCGGCTATTGATGCGGCGATTCAAGCGCGATGCACGTGACTATTTCCGTTGCTGCAATTGGTTCAGCTATATTCAAAAAGACGAGAAATTATATTCCTGTAAATTACAAAAGTAACAATCGTGCACAATTCAATCACTTTGAAATTTTAAGAGCATTTGACAGAAAACAAAATATGTCATTAACTTCGTAAATCAACTATCTTCAAGTATTCTTTCGAACTTATAAGCAAACATTAAACAATTGATTCCAGAGCGACCGATGTCAGCATTGTCAGCAAGACGAATGATGTAACGAGGATAATAATTACAGTTCCTTTTATTTATTTGTGACATCTTTCTTTCTCGACTTTTCACGTAATATAATATTCAGTAACTTTATTTACAAGTCATCGACCCACAGTGCATAGACTAAACGTACGTTTTAGTGTTTGCTTGGGAATCGATTTATTTACAAAAATGTGTCTTCGAGTTACGGAACAATCTTTAAGTCCGCAAATACATCAGACGGGTGTCTCGATCGTAGATATTTTCCATTTAATGAAAGCAGAAGTGTAATCGATCGCGTCTTATAAAAAGATCAAATGTCCCCTCGAGCATGTCGGTCACAATTTCTCCGCTTTGCTTCTGGTTTCCCTCACCAAGTTATTGGTAAACAAGCTTCATCGTCGTCCTAGAAACATGAAGCTAAATGTAAATGCAATTCGCAGCAGCGATCCGAAACGTAGCAGTCCTTTGTCTCAAGAGAACAGAAATCGCTATCATCAAGCCGACAAACGTTATGAAAAAACGTGGCATCCCGGAGAAGATCCCTCAAAATTTCCACTTCAACACTAGAACGACGCGTTTTTCAATCCTCTTTAATTTAAAAATAAACATTTTCGAAATGGTAGAAATAAAATTGCAAGTCGACGCGAATATAAAGTTTTTTTACAACCGCGATCCTGAATTGTAATTATTCCGAAATCGATGCGAGGATTGCCTCGGTCATTCCAGCGTTAGAACATTTTTTAACGTTAAATAAGCCTCGTTAAAAATTGTTTCCTCAACTTGTTTCGTGTCTCTGTCGAGAAACCAATTTTTACACACAACACACATGTTTTCACTTCAATGTATTCAGTACCTCGCGTCTTTTTTACGTGTAGCAATCGGAAATTCAAATCTCTCTCTCTCTCTCTCTCTCTCTCTCTCTCTCTCTCTCTCTCTCTCTCTCTCTCTCGCTCCCTTTTCGATGGTACTTGTATTTAGATATCATGGTTGAACGACTTAAACTCCCTTTACTCTTCACTCTAACGCGCTTTGTACATTCACGGACACTTGAAATAAATCTATGGTGATAAATCGGTTCGAGATACAATTTAAAAAATCGCTCTTGATACGTTTGCTAAATGAATACAATATCGATGAACGGAAATGCTACAAAAACACACCCCTGTCCTCTTCCTCTCTGTCTGTCACACACGCACAAGTATCGTTTGTACCATATAATGTATTTCGACGAGTACATTTAGCGTAACATTAGAGTCCCATAAGCCGTCTTGCATTTTTCGAAATTTCGCGAATTGTAAAATTTATAATTATTATTAATAGCTCATGTGTACCATGCTCGTAATAGTCCTCTACGTGCAAATTATTTTCGATATTCATCTTTCCGTATTATATTATTATAACGTCCCATACAGCACGCATGTCTAAAAGGCACATTTAAGACGTCTTTAAGTCGTCTTTTAGATATGTATTGTCTAAAAGACGACTTAAAGACGTCTTAAAGATGCCTTTTAGACATGCGTGCTGTATGGGGTGTATATATAAAATATGTCTCCTACATATCTCATATATATCCCATTATATTAAATATAATATAAATATTTATATACGTAGTTGATATATAACTTAACATATATTAATATGAGTTAAGAATCTAATCGATTGATAAACGTAGATAAGAGTTACAAATAAAACGTAAGAGCACGTGTTTCTTTTTTTGAAGATAAGCTTTCTTATAAAATATCATCATATTATAAAGAACATCTTTTACACATTAGATAACAGGCGTATAAGAGATCACATATTCCTTGCATAAATAAAATGGTTCGACAGCCAGATCCATTGGTAAGAGTAAATATGAGTGAATACGGACGTGGCACTGATGCAAACAACGTTTGCCATCACTATACCTAACATAAGATATTTTAATTATATAATTTTTATCAAAAAATTATTAATTTTTTTTCGTAATTGTATGTAAACCTTAAAAAAATTATCATTTTATCTGCAAGCACAAAATAATTATGAAAATTAGCTTTGTGTTATTTCTCTCCTGGGACTTTAAATACGTAAATTTACTTTGTGTTTCTTACATAACTTTCTTATACAAAGTACACGATAATAAAAGGTTATTATATAAATAAGTTATGAATGTAATCTGTATTTAAAAATTAGACTAGGTAACTCATTTATATAAATGTCAAGCAATTAGTAGAAGGAACAGATAAATATTATTTTTACGATATATAAAATACTAATATTCTTTCTTTTGTTTTTTCTTTTTCATGCAAAATACTGTGCAAATTAGTTCGCTTTTCTAGCTGTAATTCTTAAAGGTATGAGAATATAGTTGCATGCTTAATCAACTATGAAAAAGAAAACTGCAATTATATGCGCATGAGACTCTAATGTACACAGTTAAATAGTAAACAATATTATCTCCTTTCTAAATGTAAAGTTAACTTTTAATAGAAGTCATCGTTTTAAAGCGAGTCCGATATATATAAATATATATATGTATATAACCTTTTTTGTGTGATTACATGAAAATTATAATCTTGAAGTAAACAATTAAATCGAAAGCAAACGCATATTAGCAACGGTATTGATGTCGAAATTTCTCAAAGATATCTCGTTTAATTTGATCCTTTATTGGTGGAATGTTCTTATTTTCCTTAATTAATTCTGCAAACGATTCTTCTATGTATCTTCTGAGTTTCTTTATTAAGACAGTTCGGTCTATATATCACTTTCGATCAGGATAATGACATCGCACTCTCACGCGCTCTTCTACACACGAGAAGTATATATTATATATTTATTTTTTATAATATATGCACGATTTGATGTCACATACTCATCATTTTATTTCGCACGCTTTTCGTGTTAATAAGATCGCATTGTTTGCAGTAATACGAATAGAATATTAAATACGACACCACCACTCTGTGTAAGTAATTGTATCAGGTGCTAGCTCGCAGTTCTCAAGTTCGAGGAATCCGCGTATTATTTGCCTAAGGGTTTATGCAAGTCCCAGTTGTAAATAAGCAAGCGCGACGTACTCTATAAATAATACTAGATTAAACGTATCGACTATCTAGTTCTTACCCTGCTGGCGACAACGTCAAGTTTTTGTGTCGGACACATAGTACGGACTATATTTTCATGCCTGCTGACAGCAGTTAAAATATCGCTTTGCTTTGTTCCGAATAGAGGGAACAAAGGTAATTGTGCTGTAACGGTGCTTTCATTACTTATGAATCATTGCAAAATACAGTCACAGTACATCCTCATCCGTTAATCGTAAACGAGGAACTGAGAGATTGATACAAATATAATCTGAAAAACACATGGAAATTAATTGCTCAAGTCGCCAGATAATCTTCAGATTCTTGCTAGATAACGAGACAGGAATACACACGAAACTTGCAGTCCTATCTTAGGCAAATAGATCTTATCGTGTGTTGTCATTTAGAAAGTACGCATATGAAGCTCAAACAGCTTGTCAATATAATCAACAATAAGAATTTTCATATTTTTTTCAGTCTTATAAACAATACGTCGTTTTCGTAGAAAGCTGTCCGCTTCTTCGTTCTAACGCTTCGTTCTTAATATCATATACTATTCTGTACATTTGTAGTTTCTAAATAACATTCCGCGAAAACTTGGAAAAGTGGCTTCACAAACGATGTCAGCAATGTTTTTCGAGAAAAGAAGATCTTTCGAAGGAGAAGTACCGTTCAACCGATTAATCGACCCTATTCCTACTCAAAATACACGGTGTTATTTCAATGAACCTCTTGTCAATACGAAGACTTGATAAAAAGATCTACGTAGGCGAGTACCGTCTGTAATTTAGCGGCGTGTATCTAACATCCATGTAGGGGATGTTACACGGGTGCTTCGGACGTAAAAGGAAAATGTACGAAGAGTACCGATTCTTCGACCAGTAGTAGCGTTACCAATGTAATTTTGTAGAATTGAAACGTAATTCGAGTGCAATGTCACTTTAGTTATGCACTATGGTTGACGCGTGTTGAAGTCTTTCGAGCTCCTCCAACGACAGGACGTTTGTTTGCGCAAGCTCCGGGAGCTTGCCGGCCCGAGCTTGAGCGAGAAGTTCTGGGCTAAACCATCGCGCAAGTTGATTAGATGTTGGCGAAAGGTCACCTCCGTTACTGCCCACAAATCCGAGGCCCGGTGAAGGTTGACGGCCGACTGCCATGTTCAACTGTTGCGATCGCATCGCCCGTCCGTCTGCGCATATAATTCAATGTTGTAACAGACGTTGTCGTTTAAATAATAAGGGCAAATATTATCGCCACGTGTGTGGATTAATTAGGCTAGTTTACCGATAATCATGTTATTTGTATGATCCGACAATATTCTGTTATAAAATTTTCCTAATCATAACAAGTGAAGCACTCTAAATTCCCACGTGGTTAATAATTGATTACTTAGTTTAACCCAAGGGATAAATGACGTCAGGATAGGATTAAATGAAGGAAAGCTAAGAATGGCTCGTTATTTTTTCAACTTCTGAACACCGTTGCTTGTAATCTGATTTGGGAGAGGGGAAATACCTGAAAATCAATGTAAATAAGGTAAGAAGGGATTCTGAATTCAGTAAACATTGAGTTTAAAGATAGAAGTCAGAGATCGTTCGACTTGTTACAAGTTATTTTAGAACATTCTTGGTTCATGCTTGATCAAATCATTACCTGTGCGATTAGAATTGTAGTTTTGGCTCATGACAAGTTGCATTGACGTATTTACAGCTCTCTGCGGCGGTTGTTGTTGCTGTTGCATGTTAACGGTCCCGTGCGGTGGTTGCTGCATGTTAGCGAGATGCGTCGGGACCTGCTGCGCCTTCATCTGGGTATTCATAGGATTTGATCTTTGATTCATAATCGAGTTCTGCGCTACATTGTACTGTGGGACATTATGATGCGGTAACGAAGTTGCCATCGTGTGCTTAGATCGTGCTGGATTGCCGTAAACATTCGGGACCGTTCTATGCTGTTGTTGGAATTCTGTATTTCCCGTATTATATTGGAACTGAGTACCGCTCGTGTTGCTGTTATTACCGCCTTTTACTATAGGTCGACCTGAAATAAAAATTTCTGTAATATCATAGCTGACAGCTACATCATATTGCTAATCCCAAAATGAGTCCTTCAAACAATATTTTATAAAAATAGTCAACAATAAAATTTTATTCTATCATCGTCTGTAATAAGGTCATGATAAAAAAAAATTATCTGCGAAACTTTAGCGAATATTTAAAAAGATAGAAACCTGGATGCTGTTTGAGTGATGGGTTTGACCATGTTGATTGAACAGGTTGTGACCGCAATGCGGTGTGTCTCGAGAGAGCTCCTTGTGCAAGTAACTGAACTGCAGCCGACTGCATTTGTTGCATTTGAGAAGCTTGAGTTTGCGTAGACAATTTCGATGGTTCATTGCTGCTTCCTATATTTAAATATATGATAAATAATTAAGATCTTAAGTCGGAACATTTATGATACAAACTCAAATATCAATGCTCTCTTAGTGCTAACGCTAGTGCTTTTCTTTTTTTTTGTAAAAAAATTTAGTGTCTGCTAATGTAAACGTTCAATAAATTCATTTCAGTTTTACACAACTGGTAAATCATTTCAATATTTATTAAACATTACTTATTAACGTTTTTACTCCCGTATTTTCCTATCATTTTTCATCAACTATTTTATAATCATTTTTATACTTTACATTTTATTGTAAACTTGCCATTATTAGTTATAATTGTAACGCTTTTATAAGAATAATAATAATAATAAATGCAGCCGTCAGTTACACATTTATTTATATTCCATTTATTTCTGTAAAAAATGAGCATGCAATCTTGTGGCAAGCATAAGGATCAAGCAGAAGTGCAGGCATAATTAAAAGTAGCAAGTAGCATAGAAAAAAGTAGCAAGCTCATAAATTGGTGAAAAGATGCAATAAAAATAGGAGAAAGCGTGTATGAAAAAAAAGGATAGTTAAAGCATGTGAGACAGGATAAAGCTTTTTATTATTAAAAAAAAACCTATTTCAACATACTATTCAAAAATGTAATAAATCTATGTTAAGAAATGAAGAGTTTATTCCATAAAGTGCTCTTTATCATATATAAAATAAAAATATTTCAAAATATCTGTCACACTAAAGAGACATCTTTCAAGCTTCCATAAAGCATCACGCTGCGACATTAAACGAAGAAACCAAACAGCTGCTTTTCATTATAACGCAAAAATAATAGAAAGAAAAACATAGATCTGAATAACAATTAAGAATTTGCTATTCTATGAAATATTAATGTGCACTTTATCAAACTCCTCATTACTCCATGTAACAGGACAATTAGACGTTTTCAGCGGTTGCGAGTAAAGTAGCCGTTTGCAAATCAACGTTCTTTATTTCGTCTGATGGAGTAGATGCGGTCATTTTATCCTCGTCTACCAATGTTTCGAAATCAGATGATTTTCTTAGTGCCTCATCAAGTGAAACACAATTATTATTGTTGGTATCATTATCAACATCTACTACATCAGACTTGGTTGTTTTTGCATCGTCGTTTGCATCTTTATTAACATCAAGGAAAGTGTTTTCCTTTGCTGTGCTAATCTTCGAATTATCTTGCGCGTCTTGTTTCTGCTCTAATGGACACAAATACTTGGTCTTTAAAGCCGATTCTTCCGTACCAAAGGTGGTATCGTTACTAGTATTATTAGCTATAGCGGAATGCAGGAAGATCATTTTAAGAGTCTCATTTTGCACCCGATTGACAGAATCAGAAAACTTTGTGAGATTAACGGTAGAAGCCGCGGCGTGCATTTGATTATTTTTAGACATGCGAGGTACATTTCCATTAATTGCAGGAGTGACAGAAGAGGTCGTTTCTACTTGGCAGAATTGATTCGCACCGTCAGGTTCCTTATCAGCAGTCATTTTGCGTAAAACAGAGGTTGGAGTGAAAGCGAGCGGACTCGCTGTTTGCTTAGCTGGTGAGTTAACAGGGCTTGACGCGCGCTGCTGCTGCTGCTGCTGAACTTGCTGTTGTTGCTGCTGCTGCTGTTGCTGCTGATCCTGCCGCTTACGGAAATTCTCTCGCTGCTCCTCCAATTTCTTCTTAATTAAAGCACTTTGCATTATAGACTGTGTATGCATAACAATCTCTCTTGGCGACGGTACTCTATGCGGTATCACTATAATAATAATAATAATTTTCATATAATTAAAAAGAAATTTTACCAACTTTATCGCAACATTGCTTAACACTTAATTTAGATTGAAATAACTTATCCAATGATATTACTACATAGCCTTTTTCTCGTGTAATTTTAATTAGACATCTTCTTTTATATATCTAAAATATTAAAAAAATAAAAAAACACAGTTTATTGTATTACCTGGATGTTGTACTGATAAAGTACTAGGATTAGCTGTTAAATTTGGTGATATTATTGGAGGTGGACAATAAGCTGCATTCCAATACAGTACAAAATCATTCAACTTGATAACAATTGAAGTTTATAAATTTTTAACTGGCCTATACGAATAGATAAAGAAGAATTGAAAAAGGATCGTCAATATGTGAAACATCTTACCGTTATTCATAGGAGATGGAATTCTCTGTTGTTGTTGTTGTTGTTGCTGCTGCTGATACAGCATCTGTTGCAGTATATGTTCCTGAGGGATAGAAGCAGCGGGATGAGGATGCGGACTTATAGTGCGAGGTGTGGTGCCACCATACATTTTCAAAATGTTGACCAGTACTTCTCGATGGCGATGCTGCATTGCGGGATTCTATCAAAGATACAATTTAAAAAAAATCTTTATTATATTCTGTAGCAAATATGTGCAGTTCATTGTAGATGATCATAAATAACTGACCTGCAATTGCTGTATTAGATGCTGCCTGGTAATTTCCCCTTGCTGTAAACCTTGAATGATTGCTTGAGCCTCCGGTCGTTGTAAAAGCTCTTGGCTCGACGGGACATTATTTATCATCATTTGCATCTCCGTCGGTACTGGACTGACACCTAACATCCTCTGATTGTTCATCATCATCGATAGCATATCAGAATGTCGTTGCTGCTGTTGCTTTTGTTGCTGCTGCTGCTGCTGTTGCTGTTAATTAAATTATTTGTCAAAATTCATCGCGCGCGCATATCAATCACCAAACAAAGTGTACATCATACCTGTATCTGCAGGACTTTCATTAGATTCTCGTGTTGCATCTGAGCCTGATGCGGATGTTGTGTAGGACCAAGTGGACCGACGTGATTAAACGTTGCAGTATGAAGCGATTCTGTGGGCGGCTGTTGATGGGACATCGACGACGGCTGAGTTTTCAATTGCGAATTAAGTAACTGAAAGACAAGAGGAAGAAAAGTAAAAAAAAAGAGATACAAATTATACACGTTTCAATTAATACGGCGAGAAAAATTAAATATCAACTTACTTGCATTAAAGTTACAGGTTGTTTTTGGGTGATAGGTCCGTTAGCTGCAGGCACAGCTTGTCCTCCAGTCACTTGAGCAAGCTAAACAAAGAATCGTGCGTTTTAATATACATTTCTAAAACAAAGTGACGTTAAATCATCACATGTCGACTTGCCAGTTTCTTAAAAGCAGAGAGATCTTCTTCAGTCTTATTTACACGGGGCGCATCAGTCGAAGTTGCAGGTGGAGGAGCACCACCCCGCATACGTGCTTCCAATTCCTCCAAACTGTGCACAACTTTGCCACCAACTTCTGGAAAGGAATTTATGTTTATCGCGTTGTGCCGTAATTCGTTCGTTTTACGGTGGTGCTTGACAAAATGATATATCAGTCTTACCCAAATCTTTAATGGAGCAATTTTTCATCATAGGTATAGCCGCATTACTCGCGTCACCCTGGCCGTTTTGATTCGGCTTATTACCGCGATGTAACATCTCGAGTAATTTTACGCCGTTTGTGGTCGTGTTAGCATTATTGGTCGTATTGGCCGGAGAAATTGGAGCGAAATAGGTGTTTGATTCCGTCACCGATGGTATTTGAATATTTGGCTCGGTGATGTCGTTCAATAAATTGTTCAGCAATTCATCTTGTATGGAAGCTCTACGACTGTCCGCCTGTTGAACTGGACTCTCTCTCTTAAACCATTGGCTGAATCGCGAACCGGTACCACTATTTGAACCAACACCATTCTACATATGGGGAGAGAGAAAGAAATTGCTTGAGTGACGTGGAGAAATAAAATTGGACTTGAAATGATCGAATCGAGATACGGATATCGCGACGAATTAAAGAGACGACTCACCGTCAACAATCCGGAGACGCCAGAGAAGGTATCAGACTTCAAAAACTCATCCAGATTAAAGTCAGGATGCGAGTCCTCTTGATTCTGATTCGCACTAGAGTTCTCTCCCGACTCGGACGTCGGATCGGTGACAGTATTCGCGCTGACGTTGTTCTCTTTGTTCTGAGCGATGGATTGCTCGTTTTGTTCGGAAATCGGAGAGTGCGCCGGCACGGCGATCATAGGCTGATCCATAACGGTCGGGGTGCTGCGTCCTTTAGGGCCCGCCAAATTCTCACTCGGTTTGTCGTCCTTCTCCGTGACATTCCTCTTGCCCCGTTTCTTCTGCGCGGGAGTCTGCTTCTTACTCTTGGCATTACCACCGCTCACTGCCTTCTCCTCCGGAATATCCTCGAAGCCCCTTAGCTCGATCGTATCGTGTTGAGACGTAGGTCCCGAGCTGAACCATTCCGGCTCGTCCGCGTCGCGAGTATCACTGTAAGTCCGTCGACGGTCGTTACCGAATCTCTTGTCGCGTCCGCGATCCTTATCCCGATCCATCTGATGATTGCCCCGCTCATTTCGATCCACTCCTCCCCTGTCGCCACGATCGCGCTCCCTGTCGCCACGGTCCCCGTAATCCCGGCCAAACGATCGCCGCTCAAACCTGTCGTCCCGCTCGCGCAGACCGTCGCGATCGCGCTCCCTCTCTCGCATGTCGCGATCCCTGTCCCGCTCCTTCCCGTCGCGATTATCTCTATTATCCCGATCACGCAGAGAGCCACCAGCGGCCGTGCCTGATCTGAAACCGTAATCCGCACGCTCGGGCTCCATCTTTTCGTTCTCCGCTCGGAAGTCCCATATATCCCGTGTCAAAATTCTGCCGCTGCCGATTCGACGAACTGGTTCACGATGGCTGACCTGCGAAGCGTTTCACAAATTGTGTTTATAAACAGAATACAAAGCGACGTAAATGAGAGCCAAGGCGGTATAGACGCGTGCAGACTTGGACCAAAAAAAAGAAAAAAAAAAAAGAAGAATCGATCGCGAGAACGGCCGCGTACCTCTGCTTTGCCAATCGGGCTCTCCGGACGCCGGCTTGGTGGCTGATTCACGTTAACGAAACATCCCGAATTAAAACTTCTCCGCTGCGGACTCAAAACGATCCCGTCTTGCTCCTTACGTATTCGGTCTCGTGGATCGCCATTGTTACGTCGCTTACTATGATTCTCAGTGATTTGATCACCACGTCCAGTCCTCTCTTCCTTCGGGGGTGTATCGCTACGCTTTCTATCCGAGTGCCAGCGTTCGGGGTCCCAAACGCCTCGTGAGCTGCGGCAGAAATAATCAGTGAAACAAACACGTGTATCGACACCTCGGCAGTTTCAGGTACTCCAAACGTTTGCAACTTACTTATTATAAGCGATATCTAGGAATATAGGCCTACGTCTAGATAATCGCAAATTTTTTATCAGCATTAAATCCTCCTGAAAAAAAAAGAGGATACAATACAAATAATGTATATCGCGAGGAGCGATAGAGCGTTGCGGAACATTCCAGCGCTTGCAAGACGATATTTACCCGAGAATATTGATACTGTGGTCTAGAACGGCCTACTTCCATGATCGATGCGTCAGTCACCTCACCGGCCACCGACATTGATATAATGGCCTCATCTCCTGCGAACAAAGTAATCGCAATGTGAGAAAGAACGCGGACGGCTTTGCCTTTCGGGGCAATCGAAATCTCGTTTTCAACGGCCGCTCGCCGAGCGAACGCCGAGAGTTGCAATCGCGCAATTTTTCACCGCCGGGAGTCGAGTTCTCGGAGCGAGAGGGTCAACTCTGTGTCTTACAGTGTAGCGAAAATGTGCTGGGAGCAGGGACGGGGGGAGAGGTTTGTCTCTATCTAAAAGAACAATTGTAAAGAAACAAAGCCGCTCGCTTTTAGCATTTTCGCTGTAGACATTGACCCTAAGGTCGCGGGCCTTTGGCGCAACGCGTTCGTACTTACGGAAGGTCACCTGCTTTAGAGGATTGACAGATTTGTTTTTCCGGAACCAACGGCAGGATCTGGTTTGCATGACCAGGATGTCCAAGAAAGGAGATCCGGTCGGGCCGACCAGCGGTCGCTTCCGCGGTCGGCGATACCAGTTCGAACCGATAAACCGATCAACGGCGATGCGTCTCATCGCTGACACCGTGCGCCGCGCCTCGAATAAATCGCAGAGGAGGCCCTCTCTCTTATCTGCCCTGTACAACCGTTCGTTCTGTTTCCCCGCGCAACAGTCCCGACGATGTAAACAAACAGGCGAAGGGCAAACGGCGGTCAACAATAAATTCCCGAAACCCCCTAAGTCCCAGTCGCGAACCACGTTCAGCGAGTCATGAGAAAAATGAGATTCCTCCGCGGAAGACTCGTCCCTTAAAACCAACTTCCTTCGGAATCGGCACGAAGAAGAAACTCTAGCGAGATCCAAGTGTTTTTCTCCCTCTCGCTCTCTCTCTTTGTCTCGAGATCAGCGGAACGATTCCACGTATACTCGCCCCTTTTTTTTTCTTGCGACGAAGCAGCTTGGAAAAAACGGGCTCTCGGTTTTCCGTGTTTCTTCGCGAAGCGGAGCAAAACAACGTGTTAAATGCCCGACTCTCCGAGGTCTCGGAATCGCGCGTTTTCGTGTTACTTGACGAAATAACTGTTCGTCAGGTATGGTCAGCTTTTTACGTATCCTGTATCACTCGCGCAACCCGGTACAGAAGGAACATGTGTAAACCGTCGTGCAAGTACAGCGCAGACTGACTGACTGACTGACTGACTGACTGACTGACTGACTGACTGACTGACTGACTGACTGACTGACTGACTGGTTGGCTGGCTGGCTGGCTGGCTTCGATGCCGTCCCCTCGGCCAAGACGGCGACTCTCTCGTAGACCAATCAAAGCTCTTCCGAGAGAATCCCGGGCGAGTGAGCGCTCGATTGGCTACAGGGATGGTTCAAACGTGACTGGTATTGTCCTTGAGACTTCAAGAAATTATCATTAGCCCCGTACACACAAGATTCACGTACACATGCTGAGATGCGGGACACGTCGGGTGTTGGAACGCGCGCGAACGATATGTATTTCGTCGCGCGGCGGTGATTTATTTACAATTTTAATGCGGTGCCTCGGGGGCGACGCGGCATTTCCTCGGTTCGGGCAAGATATACATACAATAGGTACCCCCTGCGCGCGAACGCGGGGAATTCATTTAAACAAAAGAACGGGAAGAGTTCAACTCTGACACCGCGGTTCCTAAAACGAATAACAAAGGCGAAGAAGAGAGACCTCGCTAAGCGCCCAATGCCGTCCTTGTTTGTGTATCACGTATCTTGCAAAAAATCGGCAGGGGGTGGAGGGAAAGCGAGAGGAATCAAAGCGAACTGTCGTCCCGTTTTAAATCCTCTCCCCTTTCGGCGCGGAAAACGCAATATCTAACGCAAGGGAGGGCAGGGGGTAAGAGAGAGAGAGAGAGAGAGAACGCGGAATGGAGCTGCTTCCGCGAACTCGCGAGGTTATCCGACTACGACGCCGCTCGAGATCCCGGCGGATTCGCCTCCGAAAGGAAGAGCGGAAGAGCAAATCGTACCTTCCTCCTTCTTCGCCTTGGTCGCCGCCGTCGTTGCCGTCGCCGTCGCCGTCGCGGTCGTCGTCGCCGCCGCTGCTGCCGTCGTCGTCGTCGACGCCGCCGTGGAGACCGTCGTCGTCGTCGCCGTCGTCGCCGTCGCCGTCGTCGGCGGTGGCGGTGGCGGTGGCGGCTGCTTGTCACTTGTCACAGTCTCGACGGACATCGCGCCGCTGATCGCGTCGGCCTTCGCCGAGGGTGTGGGAGATGGGGCGTCCTGCGCGGATACCGGCGCTCCGTTCCCCGCGACTCGCGCTATCTTCCCCGATACGCGATCTCTATCGGTGTCCCTTGTACACCATATACACGAGCGGTGGCACGTAACACACCCGCACGCTCACACGGAAGTACGCGCTCGCTCGCGCTCGCTCGCTCGCTCGCTCGCTCGCGCGCGCGAGGGCGCGCGGCCGAGTACACACACACACACGTACGCGCGGCGGGACGCGCGCGATCGCTCTCCGGCCACCTCGTACGTTTACACGCGCACGTACGCTCACATACGCACGGGGACGCGCGCACCTCTTACACGTACTAGTTTACACCTTTAAATATATATATATGTATATATGTGCATATATATTGCTTAGTTCGGATTCTAGTATCACAGACTGGTTTTCCCTTCTACGTGTCGCGGACTCTACCAGCGATCGACGAAGCCTCGACGAAGCCTCGACAGACCGATGTATACACCTTCCTCTCCCGTGCGTTTCGATGGAGAAACGAATATAGTCGACGGGAGAGAGAGAGAGAGAAAGAGAAAGAAAGAGAGGAGGAAAGAGGAGGGGAGGAGAAAGACAGAGGGGGGGGGAAAGAGAGAGAGCGTGTTTACCGGATAAAGGAGAGATCCCGTGAGAGGAGAGAGACGAAGAGTTTACACGCGCGAGAGCTGCGAGAGCGAGATGGGCTGCGACTCGCTGCGAGCGGCACCGAATCGCTGGAGCTTTCCTGTCGCGCGTCGCCGCACGGTCATCTCATGTCACAACACGGCCCGCGAAGCGCATCAGCTCGCCCGCCGATCGGCCCCCGTCAGTCCATCGATCCCGTATTACACACAACAAAATAAACGGCCCCGCGTTACTCACACATACGCGCGCGCGCACGCACAGGTTCTCACTCGCGGTGCTATGCAAAAATAGAAAATGGCTGCGCGACCCCCCTCCCTCCACTTGTGCCGTCGATGTTTTTCTTTCTTTTTTTTTTCTGCCGTGACCGAGAGACCGAGACCGACCGGACCGCCTTGGCTGCCGCCTTCGTCACGTCGCCTGCCTGTTTGCACGTTCTTCCTGTCACCGCGATTCCTACGGAACGGCTAGCCCGTGTGTTACGTTTCTGGCCGAGGGGGATCGGAAACAGGGAGATGGAGCTTACAGCAGAAGTTCGTGGAACGCGGTGGAAAGGGACGGGGCGATATGAGGAAGGCGCTGCCGTCGACGGCAGGTTCTGCGGCAGCCACTAGCATTCGTCGACGGTTAAGCCTCGTTTACATAGACGTCGTAAAGTCGTGGTCGTAAGAATAGTCGACTATGATTGGTCAATTCTTATGTATCTGACGAAATTGACCAATCGCAGTCGATTATTCTTACGACTACGACTTTACGACTTCTATGTAGACGAGGCTTTAAAGCCTCC